CGCAGGTACCGTGGCGTGAGCCTGCTTAGGGGCGGGATGAAAAGCCCTTGGTGCGGCCGCGCCGCCATGTTGTCCCTTCGGGGTCACCTTAGGCGTCGCTGGGTCCCTCACTGGGGTTTTCCTTCCGCTCACCCGGGGTTGGGGTAATTGCCCTGCTTCGCTCCAGTCTGGCCCTTGAGGGTCTTTCCCAGCCCAAGGGCGGGACCCGGGTTCTCGCTCCGGCCTCCAAGGTCAGCGCCCTCCCGGGATGGGGCAGAGTCCGGGGTGGGGGACGCTGAAGAGCGCCTCTTCACCTCTTCGGCCCAGGTCCCTTGGCACGGGGCCCACCGTGTGACAGTCCTGTCACTCTTTCCTGGCCACTTCAGTTACATTTTTAAAAATTAGATGGGGCTTGGGAAGGAGGAGGTAAAGGGCCCAGGTGTCTGGCCGATAGGTTGACGCTCTGTTTCGGATCACGGGCGCTAGTCACGCTCGCTAACTTTGCATTAAATCTAGATCCCATTCCCTTTCCTCCAGTATATGGGGAGTGGCCCTCAAGGGCGGCTGAAGGAACTGAATGCCTGAAAAGGAAGAATTGGGGGAGGGGGACAGTTGCTTTTTCCTTCCTCCCAAATCTCTTAGTTTCCTCCCAGGCACCCGTGTTCCTTTTCAGCGATTAATGTTGGGAAACTGGGGTCTGTCCTAGGAAAGAAACAGCTTTTTTTGTTAATAGGTTTGGATCGTCTTTTATCCCTTTCAGGGAACTGGCATGTTGGGGACGGCTTCTCTGCCCTGCCTGACATGGTCCAACCATCCCACATCAGCCTTCTGGACGGCAACACCAAAGCCGGGACCCAAAAAAAAGCTCCAACTTAAGCGCTAATACCGAGTGTTAGATCATGTGTGTTTATTTTAAATCAGAGATTAATGTCAAGCAAATCAGTTCAAAGATTTGGTTGCTAGAAGCTTGGTCAGTTTCCAGTAATCAGATCAATTCTCTATCCAAAATTGGTTGTCTTAGAGTTGCTGCCAAGAAGTTTAACCTTTTCTCTGTAATGTGTTGTTTCAAAGTGGAATCTGGGTTAGGCTGTCTTTTGTTGTCGTCGTTTTCCTATCTTTGAAACACATGCATTCCATTTCAAGCCTGTCACTGTGTGATACACCAGAGCCATGTGTTACCAGTCTTTCTCACTTCCTGCTCTGGAAATGCTCAGGAATCTGGATCCTGCTGGAGTATGGGCCCCACGGGAGGGGGAGATGGGAAGATAAAGGGAATCATTCCCAGAGAGAATGGTGACAACATGTCTCAGGGGCCTATGGAGTAAGTGAGAGGTCCCCCCTGGAAAAAGAAACCCTTAGACAGAGTGTGACACGATTAACTCTCCAGGGGAAAATTAACTGCAAATTCAGGATCTCCCTTTGGAGTACTGCTCCTGAGAAAATACAAGTTTGAAAATAGATGTCTAGTAAATGGCTCACAACAAACCTGCTTTCCTATCCGGCCTATGTGTACTAAGCTATGCTGGCCCTACAATTGAACTTCAAGAAACTTGTCTCTGCCCTGCTCCCAACACAGACATCTGTTCCTTTAATCACAATTCATATATGCCACACACAGAGGTGACAGTATCACACACAGCACCCCACACTTCTGAAACTTGTACCCAGCTCCTCACCCCTAGATTTAAATTCAACTCATTAGGCATTAGTCCCAAGGGTCTGGCCTGTTGTTGGAGTCCCACAAAGCCATTCCAGTCTCCTTACAAGTCACTTGCTCGCTCCGTCCCTGGCCTTGTTGGGGAGGGTGGGTTTAGGGGAAAGGGACATTTAGCTCTGTGTACCAAGGCTTTACAATAAAATGAAAACATCCCATTGCTCTCTGTGAGAATAAAATGTTTTAATGGTATAGCTTGTGGAAAACATTTTATAAACAAGATATATGTGGATCAGACTTCTCACCATTGCATGAGTATAGAAAGTGAACACATTCCTTTTGTCTTCTCTGGTGGGTTAAGTTTGTCACCAGAACAGGAGGGTTGGCTGGTAGGGAATGAAAGTGGAAGTAGACAGATTCACATGCAGGCGCACCTATGGGATACAGGCAAGGCAACCCTTAGCTCCTGGAAGTCTGTCATCTTAACCATGTCACATTCAGAGCCCTGCTGTTGGATGGATGGAGGAAAGGGGCTTTGCCAAGATTACCTGGAAAGTCCTGGGGGTTAAAGCCTCCTGCCTTCTTGGGGGTAAGGAGTGTAGAAGGTGTTGTGTCCACAGCATCCAGACCCGTACTGCTTTGGCCTTCATCCATAAATATTACTGCTTTACTAACTGAGTTGATGTTAGAGTATCTGGGGTAGTAGAACAGTAGGCACACCCCTGGAAGCCTCTGAGGAGACAACAGTCTTCATTGAGAACACAAATCAAGGGCCAGTATTTAGCTCAGTGGCACTGTGCCTGCCTTGCAAGCTCAAGTTCCTGAGTTCAATCCCTGGTATTGCCAAAAAAACCCAAACCAAAACAAAACATTATATAGATGGTTCTTAGCTTTAGTGTGGAAAACTGCAGAAACTTCAGCCTTCAGGCCTGTCCAAAGTAAGAGCTTCAGGAGGAAAGAGGTGTGGGCATTGCCTGCTGCTGAGTCACTCTGGGCAAGAAGAGACCTGCCTCACCTTTAGGCTGTGGTAACGACTATGAGTACCCCAGTAAGGAAGATGGAGTTTCAGATTGCACATCCCACCCAAGTCCTGATGATTCTTGATTGCTGCTTTGACAGAATGTTTCTAGCATCTGGTGGTTCAGCAGAATTTTAAAGGGGAGCTAAAGGTGAGAGCTGGGAGGTGACCTGGCTGGGTTGCCTAAGCTGATTTTATTGATGGTAAAGCCATGACCAGACCAAAATCTGCACCCCTTGTCCCATAATTCTGAGGCAGAGAGAAGTTGTAGGTGTCTTTAGAGGTCCTGGTGATTGGGTAGAGAAACTTAAGGCCCTTGCATGGGGAGGGAAATTCAGGTTCAAGGGGGTGAAGTACTTTGTACTTCAGTGTGGCAACTATGACTAAGGGATTTTAGAAAGTTGCAGGAAGAGATTCATGACCTTCCAGCTCCCTCCCTTCATGTTGACCCAGGAACAAGTGTATGGTGACAGGGACATATAAAGCCAGAGATGAGACTGAACAGGTGGCAGGGGCCTTTTGGTGCGGCAGTCAGCTGACCCTGTGTAAAAAAATGCCCTGGCTCGCTGAGGAGGGGAACAGACCAGCCAGTTCACCATCCCTGACTTGATGGCAGGGGAGAGCCCATGGACAGGGACTTGGTAAGTGCACCCTAAGGATAGGGAGGGTAGTGCTAAGAAAAGCAGGGAACCAGCATTTGGGAGAATGATAGGACAGATGTTTCAGGGCTGAGACCCTAGAAAGTAACAAGGCCAGGCAAGATAACCTTGGAGCAGTCCTGGTGGTTACAGGGCCTGGATCATTAAGCTGGGGAGAGATGGTACCATGCCATAATTTTATCCCATACTCATTGTCCAAGCCAATGGGGCCGCTAAATGTAGGCGTGGATTATGGGAAGGAGGAAGTGGTCCTTTATTCTGGGATGGAAAGTGAATATGTCACCTTTCTTTGAAGAAGAGATAAAGTTCTTTATGTCAGGATAGTGTTAAAATGAAGCTGGATATGGGATAGTCCCAGTTTATTCCCATTTTATCTCCCCTCTTCCTCTGCCAAGCAGTGTGTCCACTTTACAATAAGTGTATCAGCTCAGTCTTAGAAATGTGTGTCATGAATACAAAAGAAGCCACAGAGACAACTTTTTGTTGTGCCTCCACCACCTTGCAGGTTCCTAGGACACTGCAAGGCAGTAGAGGTACTATTTTTTATTTTTTGTAGAGGCGGTCCCTGTCCTCCAGGAGCTTACAGTCTAGCTGGGGAGACACAACTAATGCACACTTAAACAGTTTATCAGTACAATTAGCGATTACCACAATATTGACCACAACTGCGTGAGACCAGGGAAAGCAAGATCAGTGAGGGGTCAGGGACTCGGAGAAGTTGTTTTAGTAAAGATGGGATTCATTTAGTGGTTGAATAGGTCCAAATCAAGTGATGCAGTTTTAGGGGTTGGAATGGCCTTGTGGAGGCAGGGAAAGGGGAATCAAGGGAGCAGAGGCAGCAAGGCTGGAATGCATACATGACATAGGCAAGGGACAGTGAGAGGACCCCACTCTGTTTAACCCTCCTCTTCCCTTGCCCATGCCCTCCAGTCCCTCCCCATGGCAAACAGTTGGTGCCTTCTCTGCTGCATTGAGATTCCAGGCTTCGGCTGGTGACGTTGGAATGTTCAATTCTGCTGGTTGGTGTGTTTAGATCTCCGTGGTGGGGCCAGCTGGCGTGGCCACAACTTCAGGACTAGGATGGTGCTGTCCCGACTTGGTCCAAATCAGAATGCGATGCCTATGCCCAGATCTCCAGGATCTGCTCCCCAGCCCCCTTCCCTCCCTGACCCGCCCAGAAGGGGACCGGTGCAAAGGGGTTGGAAAAGGATCTAGTATCGATGTTAACTGTTGATGCTGCTTCTCCGAGGGCCTATCGGCCCCTCACTGACCTTGCCAAGTGCTCCTCTGGCGAGGGAACACAGGGGACCCCCCATTCCTGCGCGGCACTCGCTCCCATGCTCGCTGAGATGCACAGGAGCACCTGATGATACGGCCGCCCAGGGCTGGGAGCTGGGCCCTCAGTTGGGGGCTCGCTGCCTGCGCTCCCCCAGCACCTGCCGCCCGGTCCGGGACACCGTGTACGCCAGCTTCTGCAGGGAGTATCTGAACACCTGCGGTGAGAGACCTGCCCTCAGTGGAGTGCCTCCGATGCGAGTCTGCGGA